CGCGGTGGGGGTGCAGCGCGCCGACGTGGGTTCCCTGCGCGCTATGGCGTCTCCCCCGCTGGACGAGCACGTCTTCCTCGTTGAGTCCTTCGACCGTATCCGGGAGTTTGGCCTGCAATTCCAGGGCCGGCTGTGTCGTGAGTGAGGGGAGCGTTGGAGCTAGTCTCGAATTCTCCAACTGCTTAGATTTCCATTCCCACCACAGGGAATCCATACCATCCCTGGTGGCCTTGCTCATTTTATCTTTAGCCCCGCCCACCAGGCCGTTGCGTTTCCCTGGCCTACCGCAGGCTCTGTCGAATTCCATCCAGCTCTGCCCACTTTTGCTTAAGGCTTCGCTCTCAAGGAGCAAAGTTTAGAGTGCCCCCGCCCACCTTGATGAGCTGTTTTGGTTTGCCACAGGCTTAATGTCTAACTCCAAAACCGCCCCTCTATGCACAGAGCACTGCCCTTCAAAGCTGAGAGCAATCGCCCACTCCGAACACCCCGCCCACCTGAACATTACTCCGCCCACTCTCATTTTAGCTCCTCCCACAGTGCTCCAAGAGCTGTTCGATCACACCTTGAGTTACTCTCTTCACCTTGATTTAGCATCTCTCCACCTCCTATGCCTTACTCCATGTAGTCCTCCCTTATCCCAATGACACATCTGGCCCGGTGCCCTGGTCTTCTGAGCCTATTCACAGGAACTACAGAGGCCCTATACTTTCCCTAAGCCCTCCCGCCTGGATTGGCCCCTCTGAAATGAGTCATATTCCATCTAAAGACATCCTTAAGCATGGTGTCTCCCTCTGACCCCATTCAGCTCTCTTGTGGAGGGTTCTGCCCATTTGTCCCCTGCTGATTCTACTCTTGCATGTCCTCAGGAAAGGACCTGTGTGCTGAGGGGGGACACGGCTGTCAGCACCAATGTGTCAGCGCCCCTGGCACATTTCATTGTGCCTGCAACCCTGGCTACCAGCTAGCAGCAGATAACAAGAGCTGTTCAGGTGAGAGCTATACCTGCCCTGCAGTCTCACTGCTCCTGAGCCTTCAGTGGCTCCCTATTGGCTCGGCATCAATCCAATGAAGTAAAAGTCCAACTCCCACACTTTACAGGTCTAAGAAAGGGAAGGTATTGCCTGGGATCACACAAGTCCTTGGTGGCACCAGGGCTAGAAATCTTGATCTCACAGTTAAGTGTGCTTTCTACGGCCTTCTCTCCTCACTCTTTCAGATTTGCCTTCTATCTGACTCGAATACACCTCCCAAACTTGTGTCTTTTCATAGGCACATCTTTACTGTTTCTGTTACTTAGACACTGTTGGGGTCTTCAGTTGGGGTCTCCATATATCCCTTACATTCCCCACCTCCGTATATGCTGCTTCTGCATCTCAGTTCTTTCTGGGCTGCTCACCTGGGCTGCCTTTGCTGTTCCTTTCTGCACCTGCAAATCTCACAAGGTCTGGTTTTTCATTTCTGCCTTCTGAAAAGCTGTCACACACGATGCCTTGCTAAAGCCATTGGGATTTTTTTTTCATGTATATGTGTGCCCAATCCTTTGATCATAATGGCAGCTACTGTTTATTGAATGCCAAGTTAGTGTCAGACATTGCCCTAGGCATGTTATGTAACATCATCTCGCAACCTTACAACATTCTGGAAAAAGAGGTCCTGTGTTTCTAATAACCCAGATGTCAGCTGGGGTCTTCTTATTTCTGGAGCCTAGAAGAGGCTGGCTGGAAGCCCCATTTGATGACCTGTGAACATTCAAAACCCTCCCCAATAACTCTGAGCATTCCTCAAGTGCTTACATCTGTGGCTTCTGCTGAACTTGTTTAATTTATGGGTCCTCTCAATTTCTCAGTCCACACTATTCTCATTCATGCCTGTAAATTAGTCTCTTCCTTGGTTGCCACACTTGTGCACACAAAAGCATGTGTGTGTGTATGTAAATTGCGCATATGCCTATTTTACTAAAGATGAGGGTGGAAAGGGGTGTGAAGTTGACACTTTGAGTGAAGTCAAACATACACACAGAAAAAGAAACACCCGTTATGTATAACTGAATATTAGACACCCTTGATCCTGAAAGTCCTTAGTCACCCTGCTACAGGGAACTTTTCACTGGCAAACTCAGTCCACAATTACTCACCTTCACACCATCTCTTTTCTAAGAACTCTAAATTCTCACACCTTGTGCAGGACAACTCACCTCTCCTCAGTCCCTATTCCCCAGTTCAGCTCTTGGCCATATATGCACATCTAAACCATCAAGATCCTCAACAGGGCAATAGTTCTGTCTCTTCAGAAGGCAGTTGTAAACAGCAATTGCTCTCTTCCCTTATATATCCATTTTACAGATGGGGAAATGGAGGCTCAGACAGGTAAAGTGGCAGAGCCTTCTCCTTCCCTGTGAGTTAGTGAGCATCTGGAGGGCAGGAGTCTTGTCTTCTACAACTGTGGATTCCCGTTTTCATGCATGGCTTAGTAACAGGCATGCTGGGATACATCTGGGGCTTGAGTTGGCCCAGTGGGAAGAAGGTGTACACTTAGAGAAATCAGAGATGCCTGGGTAAAGCCCAGGCTAATTAGGTCAGGATCTGTGGGGGCTGGGGTCCAGGCATAGGTGTTTTTAAAAAGCTCCCCAGGGGGTTGTGCTGTCAGGGCTGAGAAGTGCATCCCCGGGCATATGCTGACCTCACCTCTTTCTCAGCCATCGACCTGTGCGCTGAAGGGACCCATGGCTGTGAGCATTACTGTGTCAGCTCCCCGGGCTCCTATTTTTGTCGCTGCCGGGCAGGCTTTGTACTCCAGCAGGTCCAGAGGAGCTGCAGGGGTGAGAGAGCCCCCCATTGAACATGCTGGACCAAGGGCTCTGATGGCTCCAATCAGAAGTGCCGTCTTGCTGTTCTTCCCACCAGCCATTGACCACTGCAGCTTCGGGAACCACAGCTGCCAGCACGAGTGTGTTAGCACCTTTGGTGGGCCACGGTGCCGCTGCAGAGAGGGCCACGACTTGCTGCCCGATGGGAGGAGCTGTCAAGGTGAGGAGGGGTCTCCCGCGTTTGTGCAGAGGAGCAAGGGATCTTAGCCAGTGGAGTCCACCCTGACTCATCTCATCCTGACTTGTCTCTCCTTTAAGCCCGGGACCTCTGCAATGGTGTAGACCACGGATGCGAGTTCCAGTGCGTGAGCGAGGGCCTCTCCTACCGCTGCCTATGCCCTGAGGGGCGGCAGCTCCAGGCAGATGGCAAGAGCTGCAACCGTGAGTTATGGGTGGGAGGGGGTGCTGTCTGCCTCTGCCCCACTGCCCACATTCTGAGCATCCTTGACTTTGTCCTTGCCATGGTCTAAGGGTGTGGTATGAATGTGTGTGTATTGGTGGCATTGCCCTGCCTCCATCTCTTTCCCTCCATCTTCTACCCTGCTGCCAAGGTTAATTTAAAAAATATATATTTGATCACACTTCTCCTTGCTTGAAAGCCTTCTGTGGCTCGCCAGTGCTTACAAAATAAAGATCAAATGTCTTACCCCTAAGTTTTTCAAATGGTGAGTGGAACTGCATTTGAAGCACAAATGATGGGTGTAACCACAGTGGACAGTGAAATCAAATTAGTGGGTTAAAATCCAGAATTTTAAAGACAGAGAGAGAAAATAGAGTTCACTGCATGTAGAAAGAGCAAGTATTGTTCATGAAACTGAATGTTAATTATATATAAGTGCATCATGATGTATTATTGTTATTATTGTTGTTGTTATTACTATTATTATTATTTTACTGTGGGTTGTGGTCACAATTTTGAAACCACCACCTTAAGTCATCACAGTCTAGTGTCAGCCAACTCTATCAACCTGTCTCCTGCCAAACTTGTACGTTTTAGCCATGCTGGCCCGCCCATTTCCGAACTTGTCAAAAGCTCCCAGCTTCTGTGCCTCCGCACATGCTGCCCTCACCATCTGGAATGTCCCTTCCTGCCTTGGAGAACTCCTACTCATCCCTGAAGACTAAATCAAATGTCACCACCTCCATGCAGCCTTCCTCACCAACTCCAGGAAGAATGAATTATTCCTACTTTGCTCCCTGCACCCCTCTCTATTCTAGCACTCTCCTTGAGGGTAGCCATAGCATATCTGATTGCTCTGTTCTATCCTGATTTCTTTGTGGATCAGGATTCTGTTTCATTTATTGTTGAACCTCCTTCAGGGCCTAGCAAAGTCCCTAGCTCAGAATAGGGGAGGCATCCTTGTAGCATGATTAGGACCTTGAGTTTTGGGGTCAGGTAGAACTGGCTTCACATCCTGGCTCAGCCACTACTAGTGGAATCTGGAACAAATAAACGACTACCTTTCAGAACCTCAGATTATTAGAAAATGTGGATAATACCCAAGGTTATTAGGACTGAGAAAAAAAATATAAATCATCTAGCTCAGTGCCTGGCACATGGTAAGCTGTCAAACAGTAAGGTTTGTGCTTTTATTTATTACTGTCAGTAGTGGTCAAGTGTTTAGAATTCTGTCTGATATGTAGTAGATGATCAATAAATGCTAGCTATGATGATGATGATGATGATGATTTAAAAGATGCTGTTAGCAAATTGACTTGTGCTAAGCACTCAATAAATGGCAAAAGTTATAATGATGCCGCTGATGATAACAACAACGTTATTATTATTTAGCATAGCCTGGCATAGGAAGGACTTCACACAAAGTATCTGTTACATAGTAAATGTGAATAAATAGATGAGCAGTTGGCTCCTGCCAGCCAAGGATCTGGTCCCTCAATCCCAGCTCTGCTCACCGCCTAGGGTGCCGGGAAGGCCACGTGGACCTGGTTCTGCTCGTCGACGGCTCCAAGAGTGTGCGTCCTCAGAACTTCGAGCTAGTGAAGCGCTTCGTGAACCAGATCGTGGACTTCCTGGACGTGTCCCCCGAGGGCACGCGCGTAGGGCTGGTGCAGTTCTCGAGCCGCGTGCGCACCGAGTTCCCGCTGGGCCGCTACGGCACCGCGGCCGAGGTGAAGCAGGCGGTCCTGGCCGTGGAGTACATGGAGCGTGGTACCATGACCGGGCTGGCGCTGCGTCACATGGTGGAGCACAGCTTCTCCGAGGCGCAGGGCGCACGGCCTCGCGCCCTCAACGTGCCCCGCGTCGGCCTGGTCTTCACCGACGGCCGGTCCCAGGATGACATCTCAGTGTGGGCAGCGCGGGCCAAGGAGGAAGGTGGGCTGGGCGCGGGCCGCACTGGCCTGAGGTTGGGCTGGGCACGGGGGAGGCGGCTTTCCTGAGGCCTAGGGCGCCCCCTGTGTCCCTCGACCCCGTAGGCATCGTCATGTACGCCGTGGGTGTGGGGAAGGCGGTGGAGGAGGAGCTGCGAGAGATCGCCTCCGAGCCAGCCGAGCTGCACGTGTCCTACTCCCCCGACTTCAGCACCATGACGCACCTGCTGGAGAACCTCAAAGGCAGCATCTGCCCGGGTGAGCACATCTGTCTCGGGACCCCTCCTCTCACTGCCCAATGTCCCATAGCTCCTTTTCCTATTCGCTCCCGCCCCCTTTATTGAGTGACAGCCAGGGGATGGGCTCTTGTCATTCAAAGTGTGTGTAATCTATGCACCAGCGGCAGGGCTGTCACCTGGTGGTTTGTTAGAACTGCAGCATCTCCTGCACTCTCTAGACTGACTGAATCTGATTTTGCACTTCAACAAGCCCCTCAGGGGACTTGTATGTATGTTAAAGTTTAGGAAGCACCAGATGAAGCTAGCTGTCCCCCAAATCAGCGGGTGCTCAGAATAATTGGGGGAAATTTTTTCAAAGGCAAGCCCCAAACAGCATTGGTGAGGGGAACTACAGCAGAAATCCCTTTAACTTGGTGACATTCAACTTTACAGACCTGGCAAAGTGGCAGGACTGTGTATTTCAAGTACACAAAAATGTGTATTAAAACAAAAAGCTGGTAAATTCAGTCTATCTACTTTATTTGGGGCTCAGCTGAGGAAAAAGGGACCAACCCTATCTGTGGAGGGGCAGTGGACTGTTGAACTTGTCTACTGTACTTTAAAGGCCATATAGGGAATTTCTGGGGGGAAATTTTAACATAGAGTCTTTAGAGTCTAACCCAGGCCTAAGATATGACTCTTTCAGATTACCAGGCCCCATGTCCAGAACTAGGTTTATTAGGACTGGACTGAGCTTGGAGAATCTATATTTTAAAAAAAATACACACACACATGTGTGTATGTATATGCATATACATGTATATACACACATGTACACCTACACATCTCTCTCTTTCTCCCTCTTTCCAGGCTGATTCTAACAACTAGCCAGGGTTTTGTGGAGGCACTGGATTAGCTGCTCCTTCAGAGTCCTTCCTGCCCTAACTCTTAAGTTTTCCACAGTGTGAGTTTGGACAAGTCACCTAACCCTGACCCTACCCTTAACTTTCCTCTTCTGTAGCAGGGGAGGGTGCTGGCTGCTGCAGGTTACCACCAGCTCTAGAATTCTAAGGGAACTCTGGACTGTGTGGTTGAAGATCTTCACCAATTGGCTGGATAACCTTGGGCAGCTCCTCCCCCTTTGTTAGCCTTTGGTTTCCCCATCTGCAAAGTTAGGAGTCTTTCTGGGACTGTTATCAGTATCATTGGTGACACAACATACAGCAGTTTGCTGAGGGTGCATATAAGACTAAGATACAACTTTTAAATCATAACAGCAACTCTGTATTGAAGGCAACTGCCAGGCATCGTGCACACGTTTAAAATGGCACACGTTGACAGAATTCAGTGAATCTAGGATACCATCTGTTATAAGATTACCATTATTTTCTATACTGCTAAGAAAAAAAGATGCCAAATTTAATTGTAATGCACTTATTTTGATTTCAGAGATGTTGAAATGTATGAAGAGATAGAGATAGGCCTGGATCAGTGGTTTTCTTTCTTTCTTTCTTTCTTTCTTTCTTCCTTTCTTTCTTTCTTTCTTTCTTTCTTTCCTTTCTTTCTTTCTTTCTTTCTTTCTTTCTTTCTTTCTTTTCTTTCTTTCTTTCTTCCTTTCTTTCTTTCTTTCTTTTCTTTCTTTCTTTCTTTCTTTCTTTCTTTCTTTCTTTCTTTCTTCAACAAAGAGGATTTATTTGCAAGGCAGGCAATTGAGGAGATGGGGGAACAAATCTGAAATCTGCCTCCTCAAAGGCAAGGGGCTTAGGTTATTTGTGGGATGAAATTAAGTTTCAGGGCGGTCTGAGGTGTGGGGAGCATGGGAAACGTGACTGGGGAAAGTTGTGATAATTGTTATTTTTGGAAAAAAGTGTGATAATTGTCATTTTGCACAAATGTAACTAAGCTACAGGCCTCTGCACATTCAAAAGGTCACACGGGGGATCGTCACCTACAGCCAGCTGAACGGTGGGTAGTCCTATTGGATCAGTGGTTCTTAAAGTTAGGGTGCAACAGACTCACCTGGAGGGCTTATTAGATAGCAGATTACTGGCTCCAACCCCAGAGTTTCTGATTCAGTAGGTCTGGGGTAGAATCTAACTATTTGTATTTCTGATAACTTCTTAGGTGATGCTGATGCTGCTGGTCCAGGGACCACACTTGGAGAACCACTGGTCTAATTGAAATACACTATAAAGTGTTTACTTGTATCAGGTAGTGCTCTAGATCAGCACTGTCCAGTAAGGTAGCCACTAGCTACATATGCCCATTTAACTTAAATGAAAGGATATAACTTAGTTCCTCAGTCACACTAGGCACATTTCAAGGGCTAAAAAGCCATGTGTCTTTTTTTTTTTAATGAGGGGGAGGTAATTAGGTTTGTTTGTTTGTTTATTTATTTATTTATTTATTTATTTATTTATATTTGGAGGAGGTACTGGGGATTGAACCCAGGACTTTGTGTATGCTAAGCATGCACTCTACCACTTAAGCTATACCCTCCCCCCTAGCCACATGTGTATTGTGGCTAACACACTGGACAGGGCAGTTACAGAACATTTTCATCACGCATAAGGTTTCGTTTGGACAGTGTGCTGTGGATTCTCGCTACTCAAAGTGTGGTCCACCGGCCAGCGGCATCAGCATCACTCAGGAACGGATTAGAAATGCAGCATCTCAGCTCCTTCCCTGTTAGCAACAAGAATCCATATTTTATCAAGGTTTCCTGTTGATTCCAATGAGCATCAAGGTTTGAGAAACCTTCTAAGATGTGTACACACATACACACACACAAAAATTGTAGAATCATTAGCACCACCCAACGAACAGGTTTTCTCACTGTATCCATTTTTACAGGTAAGGAAACAAAGGCTTACAAAGGTTGAGTGAGTTTTTCAATATCTCATAGGGAGGTAGCTGGGACTCATCCCAGGTCTGTCTGAATCCTAAGCCGGTACACTCAACCGCAGGCCAGGTGGAGGGATATCGAAGGGCCTCGGCCACGGCCGGCTGGTCCTCTTGCAGCTTCTCACTCCCGTGACTCTCTGTGCCCCGCTGGCAGAGGAGGGCATCAGTGCTGGGACAGATCTTCGGAGCCCGTGCGAATGCGAAAGCCTCCTGGAGTTCCAGGGCCACACGCTGGGGACGCTCGAGAGTCTGTCGCAGAAACATATCCTTTGGGGCTAGGGGCTCGGGATGGAGGGAAGGCGAAGGGACCCCCGTGAGCCCCGGCGGCTTCCTTAACCGCTCACTGGCCCAGATGACGGCGCGCCTGGAGGACCTGGAGAACCAGCTGGCCACCCAGAAGTGAGG